CTTTCAATTCAAATATCTCAATATTTGCGTGCATGTTACACTCAACTTTTTAAAACTACGGTATGTGCAGTAACTAAACCACTACTCAAAAGTCAAACGACTGTTCTGAAAAAAGAATCCTGCGCTGGGATTCTCCTTAGAAACCAGACTCCCTCAGGACAGACATCTGACTTCAAAATCGTCACCATCATGTCAGACCTTAACCTCTTAACGCCGCAGCTGAAAGATTTCCGCTGAGAAACAGGCTGAAGGGAAAAAGAAATAAGAGTGTCAGCTAGACAGCAAACTACACAACAAACGAAATTTTCTATGAAGAAACAGAATGGAAATGGGCATTGTTACTCTTGCGAAAATAACACGGACGTTGAGGCGCAGAAACGACAAAAGGTCGCACAGTCCCTTCACTAGTGGAGTCGCCAGTGACAAGTCTATATTCCCGGGAAGGAGAAACCCAACGGCAGGTCGCACTTAAAGATCTGCTGGGGAGACGCGGCGAAGACACATCCCTGACCTCAGCCTCAGTTTCCCTACCCCCCCCCCCCAAAAGAGATGAGAACAGAACACTCCGCTCACAGGAGCCAGAGGACCTGGCTCCTCTCCACTCCAGAGCCCCTTCAAAGGCCGACCTCATCGGGGGTCCCCAGCGCGACCGAGTCCTGACAGGAGAGCTTGGGTGGGAGCGAGGAGAAAGGAAACGGGGTCAAAGCGCAAGATGCCTATCCGATCCTGGAAAGCGATGTCCCCCCCCCCGCCAACACCGGCGGTGACGACACCCGCCCTAGACCCGGCATCCCGAGCCTACCGCACCACACCGAGCAGCCCCAGCATCTCTCCCTCCTTCCGGCTTCTCCCTCAGTGCCCCGCCGCCTCTCCGACCGCGCCCCCGAACGCAGCCGGGAAGCTCCTCCTCTGGCCGCGTCTCCGCAGCCGACCCGCCCGCCCACCCGCCGGCGCCAAGGTCTCCTCAGCCAGACGGCGGAAGGATGCCGGGCCGGGCCTCCCAGGCTCCTCCCGGGCCTACCTGCAAGGCGGACGGGGGCTCGGTTTGCAGCCCAGCGAGGGGACGGAGCCACGAAGAGGAAGAAGAAGCAGAAAGGAAGCGAGGGTCCGCTCTACCGACCAGCGGGAGAAAGCAGCCTGAGCGCGGGGTCTCGCGGATATAAGTCAGCCTTCGACCCGGCGCCACCGCCGCTGAGAAGACATCAAGCGAGAAGACGGCGCAAAAGATCACCGAATACACGAACGTCCCAGACATCAAAGGAGGAGCGCCCGCGCAGTCGTTCAAGGAACTGCAGTCGAGCGCCGAAAAACATCTCGGTTCTACTCAAAGTTCGACTCCTGTCCAAGGCATAAACAAACAAGCCCAGATGGATCATAAGCCAAGAAGTAAAGAAAACCTGTGTTTCTGCCATTTTCTGTGTCAGTTGCCGGCTAAATTGTTTAGAGAACTGGAGTTTTTCTTGAGAGTGTTGAAGATCCAGTCCATAGCACAGTAACACTCGCCTGAACTATAGTTCAGCTACTACCTTATGGACTCCCAACACTATCCCAACTGAGCAAATTTGATACTTAGTTTCCTCACGGACCAGTGAGGTAAAAAAAAAAAAGATTTTGGATAGATACATAGATATAGATATGTGTATGTGTACACATACATATGACAAAGGCACAGAGGGAGAATCCAGACTGAGGAACAAAGTGAAAAGTCTGTTAAAGCTCAAATTTAGCTCTCATAAGCATAGCAAGGAGAAGCTGGGAAAATTCAAGGTTTTGTAGTCCTTAAGACAGGGGGGCGGAAAATAACACCCATAGTGCCTCTTATTTTTTTCCAACGGTCTACAACCACAGGCAAGTTTCTTACGTAATGATCGAGTCTCTGCGTTCAGAACCTGACAAAGTGTGTTGGCATTTTCATCGTCACAACAATAACCTCTTTCTGGTCTCTTAGTAAACAACCAAATATGTTCAGCACAAATATGGGTTAATATGTACATCCTAGCTACGATTCAGATAAGTTGTATAGTCCGATCAGGACAAATATTGATTTCCAAGTACTAGCAATAATACGGCTTACTGCCCCTCTCCCTAAGAAAGAAGGAGACCCAGAGGAAAGATATAAAAAGAAAACAAGATAGTTCCTTAGGAGTTTATAATCCAGTCAAAATGAAAGACATTATAACATTAGTGTTATAATTTATTGGGTATTTTTCCCAAAGTATAAGTATCTAGAAAGTCACAGAGGTGGTAAAGTAAGCCAGCTGGGCTGCCTAGACTCAGGAAACAAGTTAGAGAAACAAAAGAAAGGCCCTTGGAATTTAGGAGAGAGAAGGGCTGGGGAAGCACGCCTGAGTGGAAGAAGAGAGGGAAGGGAAAGACACAGGCATGCTCCCAGAGGGAAAGCGTGTCTAAACTGTTATTTTTAAACAATCTCCTCTGTTAAGCCCCTGAAAATGTTCGTACATACGTATATATATGAATCAACAATTATATATGACAGACTATATGTATATGTATATATGTATATATATAATGACAGATTTATTTCTGTGATATGAAAGAAATCCAGAGATTACAGCCCAGGGTAAGGTGTGGCCATTTAGTGTCAGGGACCAGGTTTCTGTTTTGTTGCTTTGACATCTTCAATAAATGCCTTTTAGGCCCTGGCTGGGTGGCCCAGTTGGTTGGAGTGTCATCCTGTACACCAAAAGGTTGTGGGTTCGATTCCCAGTCAGGACACATACGTAGGTTGTGGGTTTGGTCCCTGGGACCCATTCAGTAGGCACACCAATTGATCACATCAGTATTTTTTTTTCTCTCTCTCTCTCTCCACTCCCTTCTTCTCTCTCTAAAATCAATAACCATATCCTTGGGCGAAGATCAAAAAAAAATTTTAAGGTGGTTTAGGCTTATTCTGCTGGCAAAGTTGCATCTCTACCGATAAATTTCCTTAGAGAACTGTTGCTTTTCAAATGTGGGTTAAGCTTCAGTGTGACGACAGTTCACTAGTTCTTATGGAGAAGTCTTTTGCACAGAAGAGTAGATCACAAGAGATCAGTTGAAACCCTCAGGCCTACAGGAAGGACGACCTGAAAAAAGGAAAACAGGGGGGCAGAAGTAAAGATCATCCTGGGATGCACCGCCACTGCCTACATATTGGTGTTAAGCCTCAATAATTCATCATTATGTTGTTGATTGTTATATTCTCAGAGGATTCTCCTAGGGTAGCCAGACTCTTCAAGGTAAGATGGAGTGAAGGGAGGGGAAAGGAGTGAAGGGAAGGATATTGATCTTTACCTTGGCTTTGGGCTCTGAGAAACAAATCAGGCCTAGACCTAGCATGAAATAACTAGCAGTACCATGATTCCTCTTATTAGGAAAACCAGGAAGTAGAGTTAGGCCTTAAGCAGCCAAAATGATGAGCCAGTTGTAAGTTTTGCTGTTGCAATTCTATTGTTCTTTTTTGGATTTTTTTATACTGTTCTTTTGTAACCTGTTCTAACAGCACTGTAGGATACAATACACACTTTGGGCTGGATGGTAAAGTTAGAAGCAGCATGGTTATACAACAGCAGCCCATAGAAGGAGAGAGATCCAAAAAGCCTCTTCCTTCTTTGGAATTATTTATATTGAATAAATTTCCAATGGTGGTGAAAAAAACAAAAAATTTCCATGCATCTATGTAAACTTGCAGGGTTTTAACGTGTGGGTGTGTTTTTTATGTATATAAATGGTACTCAGATACAAAATAAATTTTCCAGCAGTGGAATTTATCAATGGATTAAAATATATGAACATTTTAAAACTCTAGAATGACAACATGTCCTTCCATGAAGAAAGCTGTGTATGTAAGGTTAGAGTAGGTCGCAACAGAATGATGCTTAATGTTTCGCTGGGTGAACATGGAGATTTCTTTCAAAGACTTTTTTTACTGAAATTTACTAATTTGTGGTTTCAAGTTCTACACTCCTTGCTCCTATTTAGTATCCAGAGATCTCATCTCTCATACTTGATTATCACGAAGAGGATTTTAGATTGCAGTCATATTTTCTTTTAAAAGAGCCTGTGAATTGTATGTACTGGGGAACTGGGTTATCCCCAGCCTTCAGTTAGTACTTTACCTTTCTTCCTTCATGGCCATTCTCACAATCAATAAAGTCTTAGCTTAATTCTGAGTCAACATCATAAGATCTGATGGGATCTAGCAACCACGTGCCATGGGCTCTGAGGACATGTGTGTGCACAATGGGTAAGACTCATTGATTTATTCTCTGGTCTTCCTCCTAAATTCTCCTCCTTTACCAGGAAAAGTAACTGGTAAGCTCAGTCCTGGAGTTGGTTTCAGTTTATGGTATCAGTCAGGGATACAATCATAGTAGGTCTATTATCTGTCTAGACTCTATTTTACCCCTCCCCACCTTTTACACATCTACACTATACAACGCCATTAGAATTGTGTCTTCTTTTTTGTCCCCAAGTTAAATTAACTTGCTATAGACTCCTACAGCCCAAGGGTCAGGAAAAGAGCTCCCTCTCTGTTAATTTATTTTTCTTTATATGTATTTTTTTAGTTTTCTGTTCATTTTAAACTAAGAATATATTTATGGTCCCTCTTTTGTGTAGTTTGAAATTGGTAAATCAGTGGCAACCCAATATTGTAGTTTCCTCTTAATGTATCTTCGGACTTTGCTGTCTTGAAACATCTAAGGGCAAATCTGGAAAACTCCTGTGCTGACCAAATGGTCATCTATGGGAAGATGAGGCTTATATAAGACAAGCAAAATCCTTGACTCTTTCCCAAAGCTGTGCCAGGAAGACACTATGAATCCACAATAAGGCCCTCAAAAGAAGACTTCTCAGGCACTTACATAAAAAGCCACTATGAGCAAACTCTTAGCAATTTGCAAGTACAAACCTTGATCCCTTCCCTAGGTCATTTTGGGGAAAATGTGACTATGAACTGAAAAAAAAAACCCTGGCTTGTCAAAATCCAGATTGAAAGGAGATTAAAAGAATATATTTATACAGTTACTCTGTAGAATTATTAGGAAATATTAATAAAATGCTCCCAGGGAAAAACACTGCCAGCCAATGTTCAGTCAGTTCAGCACTCAGAAATTATCTTTGGTATGTAAGTAAGACTTGAAATTGCATTTAAAACCTCTCCAAGACCGTCTTTCCAACTCAGACTTCATGTCACCATCGACTGAGTTGTGAAAGCCCCAATTTTCCTTTAATGTAGTTTTTTAGGGCTAAAATGCTAGGCACTTTCCAAGATGACTCTCCACCTCGCCACTTAGATGTATGGGTGGCTGTAACCCTTTCCTCAGGCAATAGGCAGAACCAGAACTTTATAGGGTAAAACATCCACCTCAGGAAACTTGGAAAGACTGTGAGGGTTAAAATATTACCTTATGCAGGAGACAAAGCAAGCTTGGATTACAAGTTAAACTTTACAAAGGAAAAAATGTAACAGGGCACCTCTATTGCACAATAGGCAGAGCTGAAGTTTACAGTCACCTCTTTGTTGTTCACTCCCATCTCAATGACTTCATTGTACATTGCAAGCTCAGCCTCCTGCCAAATGGACCTACTCTTTATACTGCAGGATGATGATGGAAAAATAGCATTTGGAGTAGAATTAAACGGCAGATAATAATCCATAATTGTTTTTAATCTTGTGGATGAGTCACCCTCAATTTATTTCCAAGTTTCTCTGTCATCTGCTGCTCATTTCTTTCCTTTGAACGTTACCAGATTAACACTGCAGAAGGCAGGTAGGAAGTGATCCAAGAGGAACAACTCAGAGGTATCACATGGGGAGTGGATGAAAAATTGGGAACAAGACAATCCTCAGGAAAGTCTCTTTTTTTGGCCTAGCAAAGGCACCAATGTGTGAACCTAATTTACACTTTCATTATTCCAATCAGGTTATTTTTGTATCAGTATAATTCTAGAATAAGATGTGGTGGGGGATTATTTATTTCCTGGGAAATTCTGTCCGTTACTTTGCATACAAGATATTCAAGTAGGTCTAACTTCAAAATTAATTTCAAGTGAAATTATGTTCTTTTTACCTCTCCTTCTTAATACTTTCATATGCCTTCTTTATTCCCTAAATCTTCCTTCAGTACAAGGAATTTCAAAGCTGAAAGGCCAAACAGACATGCTAACATCACAATCATAAGAAATGTGATCTATGACATGAGCTGTTAAAACCTGGGTGACTCTCCTCTGTCCATCAATTTATCAGGGTCTTTAGATCCCCTGTAAAGTGTAAGCCTGTTATGTTACCTGTGTTTGACTTTTCTTCCTTAAGCTGATTGAGTTCTTAACCTATTTAGCCTCTAACTCCCACTCAGGGCTGGAAATAAGAGATTGGAGTCCAGATGTTCTCCCTGGGAACTAGGTCCAAGTCACAGTCTAATTAATGCAGAAAGACTAAAGACAAAGGTTTCGAGTTTCACACTGTATCTAACATCTTCTCAAAAACACAAAGCTGCAAACTCAGCTTAGTAGCCATTTGCCAGTGTCAGAAGACCGTCCTCCAACCTAAAGTTACTTTTTACACTGGCCTCAGATTATGCCTATGTTGGCAGCAAAGTGGAAAAGCTAAAATACCATCTGAATAATTCAGGACAAGTAAATACTGTTTTCATTTGAAATCTCCAGATAACTGAAATAAAAATAAAGTGTTCTGGCTAGATGCCACTTCCTTTTTGTTTGGTGTTGTAGGCACGATCATAAATGTCTGCGGACAGTGACCTTTCAAATGACTGAGGATCAACCTGGAGTCCAATGCATAGTAGGGAACTGTTGTCCTGCTTTTGGTTTAGTTAATAAAATTGCAAATGAATCAAGATATTCTGACATAGCCCCCATTCTTCTAAAAACACGCAGATTAAATGTCAATTTGGGACGAGTGTCCACACTCGGTTACTCTAGACGATGGAACTGTATAGGGGTTGGTGAGGGAGGAAGTCTGTCACAGGTCCTTCTGGAAAGCTTTCCTCCTCCTCCCCACCTTTCACATTAGCTAAAGTGAGTGAGCACCAGCTCCTGGCGGATCCGGTCGGCCTCCAGGTCCAGGGACTCCATGTGCTCATACCCTTCCTCAGGGGGCTGTTCCATGGGTCCTGTCGTTGGAGAGGACCAAACATCCATCCCATGCTCCAGGGAGATGTTGTGGAGGACACAACAAGCCGAGATGATGTGGCTGGACTTCTCCGGTGAGTACTGCAGTGCCCCCTTGGACCCATCCAGGCAGCGGAACCGGGAGCAGAGTGTTCGGAAAGTCTTCTCAATCACACTGTGAGTTGCAGAGTGGGCCATATTATAGCGATATTCGGCTGGCGTTTCATGAATGTGAAGAGGGGTCATGAGCCAGGTATGGAGAGAGAAGGAACTGTCACCTGCGGGGAAGTCCCAAAGAAACCATAAATGATTGCAACTGGAATATAAACAAAAAGGAAAATCCAGGAATACATACAGAGAATGCCCAAGAAAATGCAATGGCCTCTGGAGCTGAAGCACACCAGAAAAACCGACAGGGAAAATGCTTTGGTAAAAAAAAGGCTTGCCGGAGTCACAAGGAGGTAGACAGACGTGAGTATTAGCTGGGGGATATCCTTGGTTAAAACCAAGAGAGGAAAAACACTGATAGCTAAAGAAAGCCATGTCTGAAAAAATGTAGGAAAGAAGTTAAGGCACTGAAGGAAATAAAATTCCTGGATTTTCTGATAATAAAAGGTTAGTAAAAACTATCATACAGCAAACCAATCTTTAAAATTGTTAAAGAGCTAAAGCTCAAGAGGGGAAAAAAAAAGAATTCTGCCATGAGATTTCAAAACACTTGTGAAGAAAATTTCTAACTTTACCACTAAAATGTCAGGTCTGAATGTACCACCTGGGTAATGCAGAATATTTCATAATAATTCATTCTCTTAGTGCTAAGAAGAATAAAATAAAAGTCCCAGCATCTGTGGTAGAGACCAGAACTCAGGTGTCCTACCTTCCTAGATATGCCATTCACTAGAACAACACCTTTGTAACAGGTAGAATTTTACATGAACGAGGAAAGCATAAATATAATGATGCAAATATTACTAATGATAAGGAAATAAAATCAGAAGTCAGTTAAAATAATATATGCAAGGCATTTCCCTTAGTGACCTATCAAATGATCTTGGGAAGTGCTAAAAATAAAACAAAAACTGGGCTACAATGTCCTGACACAATGTTTCTTTAATGTTTCATTGTCCTGACTCACTGGTCTGGCAGATGAAATGTCTCAGACAGAGAGGCACAGCCTCTTAGAAATCTGAGGCAAACAGGCCCTAGTTGCTGTTCCTTGAGCCACCATCAATTTCAGTAAGTAGCTATGGGGAGTGCTAGGCACTGTTCCAAAACACATAGTACTCCTTTATTTTTGGAGCTTACATTTTTAAGAACTGGATTAACTTTATTTTTATTTTTTAAATATTTTATTTATTTTTAAAGAGAAGGAAAGATAGAGAGGGAAACATCATTTGGCTGTCTCTTAAATGCCTCCAGTGGGGGACTAGGCCCGCAACCCAGGCCTTTGCCCTGACCCTGACCAAGAATAGAACTAGCAACCTTTCACTTTCAGAACAATGCCCAAACAACTGAGCCACAGGAGTCAGGGTAATTAACTTTATTTTGTTTAATATACATTGTAGCTCTGGCTGGTGTGGTTCAGTGGAATGAGTGCTGACCTGTAAGCCAAGGGGTCACTGGTTGGATTCCTGGTTGGGGCACATGTCTGGGTTGCCGGCAGGTTCCCAAGTGGGGGAGCATGTGAGAGGCAACCACACATTGATATTTCTCTCCCTCTTATACCTCTTTCTAAAAATAAATATATTAAAAACAATTTTTTGTAATTAATTTTTTAAAATTGAGACATAATTGATATACATTGTGTTAAATATCTAAAAGGTCTCACAAAATTTTCAAATTTTTATTTGGCTGGCTTTTTTTCTATTTGTCCTAAGTACAACCTATTTAAATTGAACTCACCTTTACTAAATGTTGGGAACCTCCCCGCCTGGTTTCAGAAGCTGTAATTCCCCGTGGCTAAAGCTGAGTAGAAAGACCCTGGGACAATAAGCCACTCAGGAGACAAAGCTTAGCTTCCTTGTAAGGGTGCTGCCTCTATCCCCATTTACTTCACCCTGCTTGGCCCCAGGCAGATGACTGGTTAGCCAAAGACAGGTAAGATTCCTCAAGGGAGGGGCAACCTAAAACAAGCATGGTCATGAAGAGGCCCTCAGGGAAGGACTTGGGGGATATAGAAAAAGGGGGTGATGGACCCTCACCCCTTGGCTTTGACATAGCCTGAGTCCTCATTCTGTCTGCAAGAAGTCTCCTAATCTTTTGACTGCCTTACTTCCCCTAAGGGATTTAAGCCTGAAACAATGCTGGAGGTGGGTGCCGCCCTGTGCTGGAAAGAGTGGGTTTCCCAGGGCAATCAGGCCTAGGAAAGAATGCATAAAATCCTTTGAAACCTACTCTGCTAACACCCTCAATTTAAATGATAAGGGTCCAAGCAGGAAATGAATTTGTTCCCCAAAGTTTTACGGCCCTCTACCTGACCCTTACTAAAAATAAGCCCTCAGAGTTCTTTGAATATTATCTATTGTTTAATCATTACTGCCTGACAATGACTGATGAGCTTTACATATACTCCCTGTATTCCTATGCAAATAAAACCAATAAAAGTCCATTGAGGAAAAGGCTCTAGTCTTTCTCCTTTGAGAAAGCTCAACTACCTTTCCTCCCCAAGCTGACCATGTCTTGGTAGACTGACTTATTCTCATCAGTGGCGGCTGGGGGCGGGCGGCCAGGTGATGGGGGGGCCTGTAGGCAGGGCTCCCCTACAACTAAATACTGAATTTAAGAAACTGACGTAGCCCTGGCTGGTATACCCTGGATTGAGCCCCGGATTGAGCATCGGCCTGCGAACAGAAAGGTCGCTGGTGTGGTTCCTAGTCAGGGCACCTGCCTGGGTTGCAGGCCAGGTCAACCAGTCAATGTATCTCTTGCCCATCAACGTTTCTCTCCTTCTCTTTCTACCTCCCTTCCTATCTATCTAAAAATAAATAAATAAAGTCTTTAAAAAAAAAGAAATGGATGTAAATAATAATGAAAATAATATCTGTGACTCACTGAATAGCTATTATGTAGAAAGCACTCTGCTGGGCAATTCTAAAATATTATCTTTTTTAAAGAAAAATTTTTATCAGTTTATTTGAGCCAAACAGATGACATATGCAGTGAAGCAAGATCTCCATTGCTCCTTGAAAATATTATCTTTTGTTATCTAATCCTAACTCTGCCAGATTAGATAATATTAAACTCATTTTACAAATGAGAACATCAAAATATGTGTCAGCCATCATTTGACATGTTAGGCAAAGGAAGGAGAAGCCAGTCACTAATGCTAACATCAGACTCAGTGTCACTAAAACAATAGTGTAATGCAATAAAAGAGAATAAGATAAACATTTAAGATGAATGCCAAAGCACAGAGATGCTAAATGATGTTTGTTAAATGTTTTTGTAAGAAACAGTATGAGCCATGGACATGAACTAAGGTGGGGAGGAATGATAGTGGGAAGAGGATACAGGGTGGAGGGGAATAAAGGGGAGAAAAAAATGGGACAACTGTAATAGCATAATCAATAAAAAATATTTTTTTTTAAAAAGAAACAGTATGAGGATTAAATAGGGAGACATACAGGACAAACTAGTTAATGTAGGCTTTTTATAAAATGCTCAGTGGTCATTAACTGGTTATAATCCAAGTACCACTGGAAGGAAGTCAGACGCTCAAGAGGGGATTAGGATCAGAAGTGCTGAACAGATTACACTTGCTTACACGATCAGCCATTCACAAGACATTCTGGCAGGTCTCACCAAAGCTGCTTAATAGCACTACACTAGAAGCTGAAGAAATAAGAACTCAGGCTGATTTGTTTGCAGGAACACATACATTTAGAAAAGGGGAATTAGGTAATGTACTCTGAAGGGACAAATGAGAATGAGGACATGAAGGAAAGACACCTACAGTGAAAAACCCCAGAAAACAAAGGAGAATCAGAGCTAATTCTAGATTTGGCAAATCTAGATCTATTTCATAAATCTGATGGTGTTAAGATATAATCAGCTAGCCATCTTTTTTTAAGCTTCTTGGCATTGCTCATAATCCTGCCAATGTATCCGCACACCACCTCACTGTCCACACACCCTCTAGACACCAGTGATCTCCAAACATGTCTGTGTGTACCAATCCATTTAGCATTAATCCATCAGGATACCTGTTAAAAATGGATGTCTAGATTCTTTCCTTGTATATTCTCATTCTCAAAGTTTAAGGTGGGGCCCAGTGATATACATTTTTAATAAATCCCCGGATGATTTGGGAAAATTTGGGAAACATTATAGTAGTCCAGGGGTCTTCAAACTAGTTTTCCTATTAGAGTTGGCTTTCCAAAGAGTGCATTTATCAGTTCCCCCAGAACTGAGAGTACTAAGGGAATCAATTTCTACATGGGTCTACTTTCTCCATCTTTAGTGCCCGGCACATGGCCTGGTGCTAAAACCGGCCTTCACAAACATTTGTTAAATATTGTTAGAATACCCATCTCTCACACTGCCACTCTTCCTATAAAGACATGAATCAAAGAAGTACATAAAAATTTGTCAGAGTTTTTACTTATTTTTAACTTTCCTGTGAACAAATAAAAAAACTAAGCCCTGGCTGGTGTGGCTCAGTGAACTGAGCACTGGCTTGAGAATGGAAGGGTCAGAGGTTCAATTCCCAATCTAAAGCACATGCCTGGGTTGCAGACCAGGTCCCCAGTAGGGGGGGTGCAAGAGGCAACCACACTTTGATGCTTATCTCCCTGTCTTTCTCCTTTCCCCTCTCTAAAAATAAATAAATAAAACAACCTTAATTTTTTTTTAAAAAAACCTACTTTCAAACCATAATTACAACCCAGTCTGGGGTCCCAAGATATGAAGGGAAAGAAAACCAGTAATTCCTACATGACCTTGAAGTCCTTAAAAAAAGGAGTATTTGCCAAACAGAGTAACTCCTCATATAATATAGTTTTTGTTGTTGTTTGTTTTAAACAACAGACAATTATTTCACAGTTCTGGTGGCTGGGATGTCTGAGAATCAGGGTGCTAGGTGGAGCTTGGGGGGTCATATAATCTAGTTTTGAAACTTAAACACAGTGACTTAAACAATCTGTGCCTTAATTTTCTCATCTGTAATATGTTACTATTATTAGTATTTAAGTCCTTATGAGTTTTTATAAGGATTAAGTGAGATAATCCAATGCAAAATGCTTACAATACTGCCTGACAAATTCTAAATGTTCAGTAAATTTTAGCTGGCTTTACAGGGTACCAAAGTAATTCCGTATGAAATGAGCTTGGAACCAAAGTACTCCCACAGTTGTGGAAACAGCCAGATGGAACACTTGTAAAACTTTCCTTCACTTTTTGGTGTGAGTTGTATGATATTTGAAAGTTCAAAGTAGGCACGCAATGGGATTAAGATAAAGGTCCAGTAAACGAGAAGGTGGTGAACTCACTGCAAACGGTATGCAGAAACAGCAGCTCAAGAAAAATCACCAAGATCCAAGATGTTACACATGGCACCCTGGCAGCTTTAAACCACTCAGTGTAACAGCAGACTCTTCCCACTTGGAACAGGAGAGGTTTCTCTTTTATGAACCAGTAAATTCATTAAAGAGAAACAAAGTACATTAGAGAGAAATAAGTGTTGATTGTCTGTTATGTACTAAACACTGTGTCATGAACATGCACAGTGAGGATATGAGCACTGGTTTTGAAAGAGGTGTCTTGAAATCCTAAATGTATCTTTTCATCTCTCACTTATCTTGTATATAAGATAACCCTTGTCTTGTTGCTCACATTAGAGTAAAAAAAGAAAAAACCCCCAACGAACCAACCAAAGCTACCAGCCTCAAGGGTTGTATCAATCACTGTTAGCACTACCCCTCATAGCTATACAGTCCCTTCAGTTTGCACTGTCCAATATTGAATGGGTCTTGTCCTACTCATATCACTAAACCAGCTTTCAAATGGCACTGGGACAGATCCATGGAGTTCCTGTAACACCTGTGTAAGTGCACTGTCTACTATCATTTTCATATAAATATACTGACAATCACCAATGGTAAAAATAATATATTTGTACAATACTTTATCATGAACTTGCCTAATCCTAACAATAGGTATTACTGCTGTTGACATTATTTTCACCATTGTCTAGCTGATAAAAAACTAAGTCTTGTATGACTATTTAACAAGATCTGTACTGATAAGTATTTTGGCTGCATTTAAGGGACTGTTTTTGTAGGCTCGTTGTTTGCAACTACAAAACACTACTGCAATGCAAATTCTTATTATGTAATTTTGTTTTACACCACCAGTGTTCCTATCTATGAACGTGCACCTCCATGTAATCTCTCAGAAGTGGAAGATCTGGGTCAAATAATATGCTCTTAAAACTTTGATACAGCCCCTGGCTGGTATGGCTCAGTGGAATGAGTACTGGCCTGTGAACTGAAGGGTCACCGGTTCGATTCCCAGTTGGGGCACATGCCTGGGTTTCGGGTCAGGTCCCAAGTTTGGGGTGCATGAGAGGTGACCACACACTGATGTTTCTCTCCCTGTCTTTCTCCCTCTCTTCCTATCTCTCTAAAAGTGAATGATTAAAATCTTTTAAAATATTAATACATGTCCTTTAAAATGGTGATTTTGAAAAATTAAGGCTCAAAGAGTTCTCACCTTGAAGTCTCAAAAAAAGGACGGGGCTGAGACTCAAGTCTATAGACTCCCATATTTCATTTACTCTGCTACATAATTCCATGGCTACAAAATGAAGCATGTCTACCTGCAAACTTACCAAGCAGCCAGCTGTCTTTGTGCATCCCAGCTTCAAACTGCCTACTAAGGGAAGACTGCTGCAGCACCGCGTAGTCCTGCAGGCTGCCTGGCCAGTTGGTCTCCACAGCCATGAGTGCCCCTCTGATGTCGCACACCATCAGGCAGTTTAAAGAATGCAGACCTTTACGGTTCACGTAGGAGAGGTCTTCAGCATTTGGTGCCTTGATTGCCACATGCATACAGTCAACCACTCCTATTACTCCTGGCATCCCAGCCAACCCATAGAACTCATCCTTCAGAGCCTGAATGGATGCCTCATCAGCTGGAAAGCGAATGAACTGTGAGGCTCTTTCCACAAGTGCTTCAGTGACATTGGCAACACATCGACTCATTGATGCCTGACTGATTCCAATAGCATCTCCCATCCGGGTCTGGAAGGAACCTGAAGTATAGAAGCCCAGTGCTGCAAGGATCTGTGTCTCTGGGCTAATAGCCCTGGATCTCTGAGTAGGTCTAGAAAGACTGGCTCCCAAGAGCTCCACCAAGCAATAAATGAACTGTCGAGGAAAACCATACATGGACATCAAGTAGTCATCAGTGACATCATCAAGCTTAAAACGGTCCAATGTCCGGTGACCTCGTCCATATAGTAAGAGATCACAGTCAAGCACCGTTATTGGTATAGCCATGGTACATGTGAATGTTGCCTCTCTTTCCCTCGGCTACTTTTCCTGAAATCTTCCCAGTGAAGAGGTTGGTGCAAGAAGGTATTTAAAGAAGTGCCAGAATGCAACAGTTAACCACCAGTTAAATGGCTCTGGCATTTATAATCTTCTTTCTGTAAAGGTTAAAAGAAAAAAAATTAGAAACCTACTAAAAACTTTTAAAGTGATTCAAAGGCTACAATAGCTACTTTCCACAAATTTCCATTTTGTTCAAGCAAAAGGTGCTATACTTTAACTCTGGGTTTTCCTCCACTAACTCACTGCCCGCAGTCTTTGTTTTGGTTTCAAGGATAATGGGAGTTGTATTTCAGTGGCTCATTTAATGCCCAGCATTTGAACTGGGAGGAGCAAAAGATTAATGGAGGAGATGGCATAATTATCCACAAAGTAAAAGAGGCCTGCACCTAACTATACAGGTCACGAAGAAGCTGACATAAATCGGAACTACCCAGAGCAGGAATTAGTCATGGCGGGTTTCATTACCTAGAGCTTTCCGGCACCACCTGAACAGGATGGATGGGTGTGTGCGTGCACGCGCGCTCGTTCAAACCTGTCTAACAAGGGAGAAGGGGGAAAAACCACCCACGATCCAGGCTGATGGACGTGGACTGTGTGCTCTCACAATAGTGAGGCGGGGGGTTAGGAAGTAGAGAAGAGCAAACAAGTTAGAATGAAGGTGCGAAAGAAGACGTTGAGAGAGCTAGAGTTGAGAGGCGACACTGCCGCTTTTAAGAGGCGACTTAAAAATACAGAACACGGAACATTCCGTAAATCTGATAGCGCCGGCCACTCTCAAAGTCCAGCTAAAGTCCGTCACCCACCTCTCGATGGCTGCCAGGTTACCAGCCCCAGTCCCCACCCACCCAGCCTGGTCCGGCCCTCCTCCAGGGCCAGCAGTCGCTCACAGTCCGCCACGGCGCCCAAGCGGCGGCCTGGCTGCCGCAGCCGTGGTGACTTGCGATTCGCAAGTGCATATTCCTCACGGGCCCCAAACGTCCTCGCTCTTTCAAAGACCCCGTCCTTTACGCTTTTATTTTCTTCTGAGACGCTTGGAAATATTGGCCATAAAGACCTATAGAAATGAAAACAACTTTTATGGGAATTTCGAAGAGGAAAGAGATTAACTACGGTGTTTGTATGTAGCGAAAGTGCGGCGGAGGTTACTCAGCTGTATTTCCTCCGTGGCCCTCTTCCTCCCCCCTCCTTCACCCAAGCGGATGAAAACAAACACTAAGGATGGCGGCGCCGGGAAGCGACCGGCTGCTGGGTTTAAGGCAGGAGTGATCGCTTGAGCCTTAAAGAGTTCCGGTCGACGTGAGTGTGCCAACTCACTCAGTCCTGAGAGCGAGTACCTGGGGCCTGCGAACCACCGGCCTCCTGAGGCGTGAGACGGTGTCTGTCTGCGACCAGGGCTGCCAGTGCTGCCCCGGAGCGCGGAGCCCTCAGCCGGGAGGCGCAGCTGGCCGGCCCCAGGCCCCGGCCACCGTAATGAGAGCCCCGAGCCACTCTTTGGGTCGCAGCTTTGCAGGTACTAACTTTAGAGGGGTACCCCCAGATCTCTCAGCGCCCCCGGGTGGGGGGCTATGGATCTGCGGCCTGTCGCGTCCCTCCTGGGGAAGCTGAAGCGGACTAGCCGCAGTTCGGTCCCCTGAGCTTTCTTTGCGAAGTCGGGTTGGTGTAGGTGGCCTCGGCCCCTGATTTTACCCAGTTTTTATAAAGATCCCAGAGCTCTGGTCTCTACTTTCTCAGTTCTTTGGATTAAGTCCTGAAGGTTTTTGGAAGTAATTTTGGGTCCATAACTGCGGGGTTGGGTACCAGGATGAGTCAGGTAGGTTTTCTTGCGATCCAGATTTGCTGAGTGCCAAATATGTACTCCGCGTGTAGGTGAGGGTGACTCTTGACTAGTGAAAAAAGACTCAAGGTTCACGACTGTCTTCTCACTGGCAGTGGAACGGCTTGTGGAAACCTGCGATCCATTGTCATTAAATAAATCTCTGGGTAAGTGGCTAAGCACCTTCTTGGGGTCATCACTAACTCATCTCAGTTTTCACTTTCCCAGTCAGTTCTCAGTTTGCCTGGTCGGTTCAGCGTAGCACTGCACTTTGAGCGTTTTTTCTTCTGCTGTGCATCCCTCCGCCAGAGAGCCAGCTAGGGATAGAGATAGGGAGAAGGAACATGAATGAATGAATATTAAAGAAGAAAAGTACCCATTTTCTTATTCTTCGTTTAAAACTCATTATCTAAAGTGAATTAAACACCTTCAATGGGAGTTGTGCAATAGTAAGAAACAATAGACCCTTCCCTTGCACTAAATTAACTTCCAGGTTTTTGTTTCATGAGTGTTCTTTTCATGTGTGCATATTGTGGCTCCAACTAAATTGCATGCTTTTTTGTTTTCAACTCCATTTTCACCTGAGCAGAAGTCTTATAAATGCTTGTGGAATGGAATCCTGAGTTAACAATATATTTTTTAAAGATTTTATTTATTTATTTACATTTAAAGACAGGAACGGAAGGGAGAAAGAGAGTGAGAGAAACATCAGTGTGCAAGAGATACATCTACTGGTTGCCCCTCACATGCCCGTACTGGGGACCTGGCCCACAACCCAGGCCTGTGCCCTGACTGGGAATTGAAATGGCGACCCTTTGGTTTGCAGGCCAGCATGCAATCCACTGAGCCACACCAGCCAGGGCAATATTTGTTTTTCTTTTAAAATCCTTTAACTTTATGATAGAAGAAATGGATAATTACATTCATAACATTGTGGTTGAAGAGCTGCTTAGATTACAGAGAAAGAAGAGCACACTTAAAAAATTCCTGCCCTGGTCAGGTAGCTCAGTTGGTTAGCGCATGGTCCAGATAAGCATCTGACCTGACCGGGAATTGAATCCTCGACCTTTTGGGACCATGCTTCAACTAACTGAGCCACACCAGCCAGGGCCATGCATGGTTTTCATAGAGGAAAGGATGCATGGAGTTGCTGGTCCTCGCTTACTCTTTGTCAAAATGTGGAGACCAATAAAAACTGCAGGCAGTCCTTGATATGATAAAGGCAGAGTAGCTAGGAATGATGCAAGGGAGATTTGCCCAGAGGGAAGTCAAGAAACTTTTCTTGAAGTTTGGATTTTAAATCTTAAAAGGATTTTTAAGCACTTAAAATGGATATAAAACTAGGATTTTAAAGGGATTTAAGATTAATTTTAAATAGTTGTTTTTCACTGTAGAGTAAATGTGGGCCAGTTTGTTAGAGAAACCCTCTAAATGCCAGTGTAGGTGGCACAGGAAATCTCGCTCACCCTAAGATGTCTCCCATCTGCCTTTGGTTACAAGAGAGGGAATAAGGTGGTGAACCACCACTATTTAGAAAAATAGCTCGACAGGCACCATTGACTGTCAGTCAATATTACCTTCTTGGTAAAAGTAAAGGTAAATTAAAAATTGATGAATTTTTTGAAAGAGAAGAGAAACACCGGTATGCAGGAGACACATTGATTGGCTGCCTCTTGCATGCCCTCAGCCAGGGAACCTGGCCCACAACCCAGGCATGTGCCCTGACTGGGAATCAAATTTGCAGCTCTGGTATGCAGGCTGGCATTCAATCCACTGAGCCACATAAGCCAGGGCCTTGTAGACTTTTCTTTTTTTAATATTCATTTTTTAAAAAATTATTTATTGACTTGAGAGAGGGAGGGAAATAGAGAATAAAAACCACATCAATTTGTTGTTCTACTTATGTATTCATTGGTTGATTCCTGTATGAGAATATGGGCCCTGACTAGGGATCAAACCCACAACCTAAACATACTCTCTGAATTCTCCTTTTGCTGTATATTTATTTTGTTATCCAGTATTCTCTATTTTGTTAATTTCTAGATAATTTGTGACTTTGGTTTTTATTTCAGTATTTATTAAAAGCTTCTTAATGTACATGTAGTTAATTTTGTATTGTATATTTCCAGTTTACGGGGTTATGGGCAATAATATCTTGGGGAAAGACTTTTTGTAGGTGGAAGAATTTACTTTTGTTTTTATTTTTTGCTGATTTTATTGGTTGACATTGATTAAGTGTATAGGTTTCAGGTGTACAGTTCTATAATATATCATCTGAAAAATGTATAGTGTCCCTTAGGCCCGAGAGAAGAATGCGGAAGTTAGAGTTAAGTAACTAAGATTTATTAAGGATCTCATATATGGCAAGTACTCTTTATAGGAACTACCATTTAATCTTCACCACAACCATATGAGGTAGGTGTTATTTGTTGCCATTTTATAACAAACAGAAAGACTGAGTAACTTGTCTTACATGCAATTACATATATATTAGACTTTTATTGTTCAGATCCTCTATATTTTTGTTTATATCTACTTGAGTTCTGAAAGAGGTGTGATGAATCTTCAGGAATAGATATGGTTTTATCAAGCTCTCCTAAATGTCTTTAAGAATTTTTGCTTCATGTATTTCATTGCTGTATTGCTTATATATAAAGGTTGATGGCTATTACATTTTAGAGATTATCATTACTCAGCATCCCTTTTAATCTCATTTCATCACTTTTGGCCTGTATAAATATTGCTACTTTTGCTTCTTTTTCTCTTTCTTCTTCCCCCTTTTTTAAAACTGAATATACTTACTTCTTTCAAACTTTCTTTGTAACTCTCTTAGGTAGGGAGATGATTTCAGTTGTTTAAACTTTTCTGTTCTGTTTTCTCATTTGCCTACAAATAACTTTTTTAAGTATATTTTATTGACTATGCTATTCCAGTTGTCCCAGTTTTTCCCCCTTTGCCCGCCTCCACCTGGTACCCCTTTCTCTCCACCACTCCCTCCCCCTTAGTTTATGTCCGTGGGTTGAACATACAAGTTCTTTGGCTTCTCCATTTCCTATACTATTCTTAACTTCCCCCTGTCTATTTTGTACCTACTGATTATGCTTCTTAATCCTTGTACCTTTTCCCATATTCTTCCCCTTCCCCTGCCCCACTAATAACCCTCCATGTGATCTCTATTTCTATGATTCTCCTTCTGTTCTAGTTGTTTGCTTAGTTTTTGTTGTTTTTTAGACTCAGGTTGGTAGTTGTGAGTTTGTTGTCATTTTACTGTTCATAGTTTTGATCTTTTTCTTAGATAAGTCCCTTTAACATTTCATATAATAAAGGCTTACTGATAATGAACTCCTTTAGTCTGGGAAGCACTTTATCTGTCCTTCAATTCTAAATGATAGCTTTGCTGGCTTGAGTAATCTTGGACGTAGGTCCATGCCTTTCATGACTTTGAATACTTTCCAGCCCCTTCTTGCCTGCAAGGTTTCTTTTGAGAAATAAGCTGACACTCTTATGGGCACTCCTTTGTAGGTAACTCTCTGCCTTTCTCTTGCTCTTTTTAAGAATATTTATCTTTAACCTTTGGCATTTTAATTATGTGTCTTGGTGTGGTCCTCTTTGGATCCAACTTGTTTGGGACTCTGTGCTTTCTGGACTTGTATGTCTTTTTCCTTTGCCAAATGAGGGAAGTTTTCTTTCATTGTTTTTTCAAATAAGTTTTCAGTTTCTTGCTTTTCCTCTTCTCCTTCTGGCATCCCTATAACTCTGATGTTGGCAGTTTTACAGATGTCCCAGAGTTGTCTTATACTTCCCTTGTTTTTTGAATTCTTGTTTCTTTATTCTGCTCTTGTTGAATGTTTGTTTTCTTCCTTATGTTTGAAATTGTTGATTTAAATCCCAGCTTCCTTACTTTCACTGTTGCTTCCCTGTGGATTCTTGTTTATTTCACTTACTATAGCCTTCATTTATTCCCTTATGTTTTTGCCA